AACAAAAAGTTATATATTAGTCCTTCAAAAAAGAGTTATATGTTAGTGTTACTTATGCTATTTTCATATTCAACACAATTTTTGTTTGCAGAGAAAATCAAATTCGTTGCACTCTATGGGGTGACTTCGCAGTTCAGATTCAAAAAAAGTTTGACATGCCGAGTTCAAGTGGACCCCTTATACTCATTTTAGATACGGATCAAACCAATAAATTCAATGGTTGTTTTTTTAAAAGGATGGTTGTTGTTAAATCAATGGTTAACAGTTTGTTGTTTTGCTTTATCTCCTTAATTTCGTGTTTTCTATTAACTTAATAAGGGACTATAGGGGTTATAAACGCATTTAATGGTACACGTTTGTTAATCGATCCTGAAACTTAAGGAGGCCATTGAATATAAGCAGAGGTATAATTCTATGTGCATATATTATTATAGTCAAAATGTTTTACGTTCATCTAAAATAAGCTTTTTATTTCCTGAAACTATTGGAGTTGATCTAATTTAGAACATAATATTAATATCCATACTTAATTATAGTTGGTATATGGGTCAGTACACTAACATTTGGTTGGTAGGCATCATTTTTCAATAACTAACCGTGTGTCTACAAATAAGTAAACAAGTACACAGACTACAAAATGCAATAAAATCAGTTTTGTTCCAACAAATGGACGCATTTATATCATTAGTTTGTATTAGTAATAAAAAATTTAAAGCCCGGGGATAATTTGTTATGTACCTTTTTTCTATACCATTGGAATGACACCATTCGTAGCATACTTGCCTTGCACCATCTACAAAAACAAAGACATTAAATAAATGCCACAAATAGAGTGCAAAAATTTTCATGCATCTCTAATAGGGTCATGAAAAGTTAATGCCATTAATTCTGTTTGACTACCTCAACTACATAATTTATTGTGTGATCATAACAGATGTAGAGATCAAAATTAATCCCATCTAATAAGGTCAAAACAAAAGTGAATTGGAGCAAAAGTTAATCCCATCTAATATCATTGTGTGATCATAACAGATATAGAGATCATAATTTATTGTGTGATCACAACAGATATAGAGGTCAAAATTAATCCCATCTAGTAAGGTCAAAACAAAAGTGAATTGGAACAAATATGATCACACAATAAATTTATGTAGTTGAGGTAGTCAACATGATCTCTATTATTCTGTTGCCACCTTAAGTTGTTTTGATCTTAAATATCATTAACTTTATCTGATGTGATCATAACAGATATAGTATTGGGAAGCATTCATTGAGTCAAACAGTGACCAATATCTCGGATCAGGTTCCATCTACTTTTGAAAATGAATTGGAGCAAACCCCTTTAATGACAATCTCGGACCTCCTAGATTCAACAGAGGTGTGTCTTTATCTTATTTTATCTAATATGAATAAATGTTGTCATATTCACATGCAAACACACAATACCTAATGTCATGCAATTTAGCAGAAGGGCTTCGTTTTTGTACTAGCCAAAGTGATTGAGATAGATACAGATGCTTGGTATTATCAGTCATGCCAAAAATGCTTCAAAAAGCTTCATCTTGTTGGAACAAAATTCTATTGTCATAGCGGGTCATGTGATACTTATAGACTTGCGGTTCCAAGGTAAAATACCAAAACTACAACACTCATCTAAAGAAGTAAGTATACAGTACATTAGCAACAATTTAAATATATTATGCATGATATATGTGCAGGTTTAAGCTGGAAATGAAAGTGATTGATGGTACCGGATCATCTACATTTGTAGCGTTTGAAAATTGTGTAATTCCATTCTTAGGCAAATCTGCTTCAGATATTTTAAGTTCCATGGAAAAGGTTGTACACTAACTAATATATCTCTTATAATACCCAATTACACAACAAATAATCACTTATATGTTTAATATGTAGGGTGGTGTTATGGATTCCATACCTAAAGAATTTGATTTGATTCTCAACAAGACTCTGTTGTTCAAGGTAGAAATCAGAGAAGTCAACATTGAGAGTAAATGGAAGAATTATAATGCTAAAAGGATGTTTAGTGATGCTGAAAAATTGCAGAAATCCAAATCATTGCATCTTATCAAGGTTTGACTACCTCAACTACATAATTTATTGTGTTTACTATAAGACAAAAGTTTCAACTATTTACAAAAGTTTCAGGATGACACTGGAGATGATGTTGATGACACTGGATTTCCATCACAAGGAACCAATGTAACTGTTAATGTAAGATAACAATTTACAGTGTTTTAAAAACCTTTTCATAAAGATCATGATAGACCCCTCTAAATACAAAATCATTAATTTCAGACTGTGGAAGAGGTTGATTCAAATGTGGAGTTTAATATCTTAGAGGTCCAACTGCACTCAAATGTTTGTTATGATAGAAACACAAAACTATTTGATATAAAATACACATGCATATATAGCTCATTAGATGTGTTCAAAGTTTAAATATCATTGTTTAAAATGATGATTTTTTAGGATGAAGAAACCACTCCATCCAGCAAGTCAAATGGAAAGAGGGCAGTAGTTGAGGTAGAGAATGATGCGACCTATGGATCAAGCAGCAAGATACGCAGGACCCATGAGATTAAAAGAGAGCCGATTGATTAAATGGCTGATTACTTCCGATAATATAAAATCGATGAGTTTGATATTGACAATGGTTGTTTTTTATCAAGTACAATAGGTTTTTTCTGTGCCATGGTTTTTCTATCACATGGTTCAATTTTCTGATATCAAGGTTTCTGTTCGCTATGTGAACCTTTCCCATCATTTTGGGATGGACAAACCTAAGTACCAATAAAATATGGTTGATAGGCATCACTGTATTCAATAAGTAACATTTGATGTGTTATAGTCATTGCCACTTTTAATGGAGTCATAATGACAAGTGTGTTTTCAAAAAGAAAAAGAATAAGTATTTGGCTACAAATTACTACATGTTATGTTATAAACATGAACACCAGATATGTACAAACACTAAAAAGTGAAATAAAACCAGTTTCAGTCCATGAAATGCAGGCATTTGATGTGCATTGATCAGCTGCAAAATTTTAAATTTGGTTAAAATATGCAGTAATCTGCCTTTAATTTTGTAACTTCTGATATCAAGGCATTCTGATATCAAGGTTTCTGTTCGCTTTGTGAACCTTTCCCATCATTTGGGGATGGACAAACCTAAGTACCAATAAAATATGGTTGATAGGCATCACTGTATTCAATAAGTAACATTTGATGTGTTATAGTCATTGCCACTTTTAATGGAGTCATAATGACAAGTGTGTTTTCAAAAAGAAAAAGAATAAGTATTTGGCTACAAATTACTACATGTTATATTATAAACATGAACACCAGATATGTACAAACACTAAAAAGTGAAATAAAACCAGTTTCAGTCCAAGAAATGCAGGCATTTGATGTGCATTGATCAATTGCAAAATTTTAAATTTGGTTAAAATATGCAGTAATCTGCCTTTAATTTTGTAACTTCAAGTAGGTCATCTGAAATTACCCTGTCTAAAATATACAAAACTTAAGTTTCCAAAATAAACGTTGTCCAAATCACTCCTAAATTAGTTCTGCTACACTCAATTAGGCAAACATTTTTCTCTCTCATGCAGTCTTGATAAATTTATGTAGGTTTACTGTCTAAATAAAAAAGTAGGATTGGATGGTTTTCCCAAGGTTCAATCTTTGGCATCGGTTATAAGAATTAACTCATTGCCAAAAATATGTGCAGATAAATTTGGTCAGAACATCAATTAATACTATACTAAATATCAGCCACAAATTGCATAAGGTTGAGTAAAATATGCATGAAAATTGGCCATAATTTTGTAATATCGAAGTATGTGATCTGAAATGATACTTTGTAATATATATTCATAAACATATGCATAAATTTCGTCCAAAAAATCTCCAAAAATACTTCAGTTACACTAAATCAGCCAAGCATTTAATTTTCTCTTCTTTAATGTTTCTGTACGTTTATTGTCTATATAAAGAGTGGAATTTGATGGTTTTCTACAAGGCTCAAGGTGTGTTATATATACACCACTCCACAAGTATTAATTTTATCATTGTACACAAACTGCTCCAATGATGTGGCTGAAGTTCCAGAAAAGAGACTAATTTTTCACAGGCCAGCCTCACCCCAGGTTCGTATCACTCTACCAAATATTAGGCATTCATGCCCATTGTACAAGAATGATGCCGATGTGTTTAGTATTACACATTTATGTGATTTTATACCAAAGTGATTGATATATACCAGTGATTGTGCCACTTATATGTGATTTCCTATCAAGCAGTGATCGATGTCATTCATTGAAGTGATTGAACCAGTGATTATACGATAGAAATAAGATATTATCATATGAAAGAGACCGAGGGAGTATAGGATGAGTTTTTTAGCGACAAGACAATTACAATAAGGGGGTAGAGGTAGACAATTGTATACCAGTCAGTTCTCTTTGATAAAATTAGCTATTTATTATTATGCTTAAAAATGTTAAAAATGTAAAGCTACGTACATGAGTATATAATATTATATTATCTGTTTGATTTTTAAAAGTTGTCTGGTTTTAAACTTTGTATATCATAATACTCCGTAATATAATATAATCTTTAAGATTTTTTATATAAAGATAAGAACTTTGGTTTCTAAGATTAGTGTCGAATTTAGAATGAGAGAAAAACCCAACATCTAACCCCATTTCACTCAATGAGATTTTGGAGTCTGTCTAATCTTACTATATACAAAGCGGAGTGGAAAATCGGGTCATTTTCCTGCCTAAAGATACGGGTCAAAATTCGGGTCACCCACCATCCATCATATCATAGTCAAAAACACTGTTGAAATGCATTGGTAACACACTTCTTGACGAGGCGTCGAAGTGGCGTTGGAAATAATGAATACACTTCCCATTTTACAAAGCTGTCAGTCAGTGTGCCAGTCACAATAAAGTAGCTAAATAAATAAATTAAACTTCTAGATACTGCGTATTCAAATTACTCTTTGAATGAAAGTGGATGGATGGTGTCAGAGTTATTGAGTTAACCTATAGCCTCAATAAACTAGCTCTTTGTTTCATTTAAATCTGCTAGAGGAGCAATATGTATCACCGTATGTTGAGTGGGTGGCTTGCTCTAGGAAAATCAATTCATCTGATAAAAAAATGGGGTCGAGCTACCTTATTTCAGCTTTATTTGACACCGGCTTCTAAACACTAGAAAGTACTCCTAGAAAATGAATTGTTTCATTCTTACGCCTGAACACTTCAAACGCCGAAAGCACAATACCTGGAAAATGGTGGTCTCTTAGCACAACCATTCTCAATATTGACTTATTCAGTTGGTTCTTGTCATCTTCACTCCAACGCAAGTACATATTTATGAACTCATACATCTTAATATGGCTATATATGTCATATTTTGCAAGCTGAAGGGAGGTCGCTGATTTTCGGCTGAATCTGAATTTGGAATAAGCGGCGAGGTGGCAAGACATATTGGGCGGCGGGTTAACACAACAATGACCACAGAGAGCTGGATCGGTGAAGGAAAGAAGACGGAAGGCTCAGGGTTGGGGCGGATGAGCGGATCAACGAATTGGGGGAGAGAAAGACATTTTTATGTCAGGCTTAAAAATCGAGATATTTTGGTCCATCTAAACTGTCTAAGTATCCGTTCATTTTGGTCTGGATATTACTAAAAATATGATAAAAGACAAAAAAAGTGATCTATGTTTCAAAATGTCAAAAATGTGACCAACATCAAAATTAACCCTGAAGTGCAAAGTGACTCCAGCCAAAGTGACTCCGGCCAAAGTGACCCCACCGGCCACAGTGACTGCCCCACCGGCCACAGTGACTGCCCACTGCCCCACCGGCCACAGTGACTGCCCCACCGGCCAAAGTGACTGCCCCACCGGCCACAGTGACTGCTCCACCGGCCAAAGTGACTGCCCACCGGCCACAGTGACTGCCCTCAAGTCCATCACCGCCTTCCCACCGTCGCCTGCCGCCAATCTCTGCCCTCTCCTACACCAACCCCAAACCAGCCCCTCCCCAACCCATACCTAGCCCCAGTCCCCAAACCCCCTTGCCACCATCGACCCCCAGTGATCGCCGCCACCCCTGGACAATGCCGCCTTGCCCCCACCTTAGCCCCCAACCCCCTTAGCCCTTGCAAAAATTGCATCTGACCACCACAGTCCTATGCACCAGCTCCCCAGCCCCCAAATGGCCAAATCCCTACCCTTCTCCACTCCTCCTTCCCCTGTTCTCCTCCAGGCCTCTTACGTGACCAATTACCACTAGTCCCACACCAGCCTCACCCTAACCTAGTCCCCCAGCCCCATAGCACCCTCCACAAGCCTGCGCAGAGGACAATAACAGGCAGCTTCAAGCTTTTTGTCTTCATTTTAGGGAAGCAAGAAGCTCAAAATACGACCACCGCACCTCCGCCATCAGTGGCGGCCCCCAAATCGAAGTTATCATCATGGAGGATCTGGAGTCGGAGGCCACAAATCGGAGTCGTCTCCCATTGAGGAAGGCGGATTCAGAACTGGCGGCCTCAAATCGAAGTCGTCGTCCATGGGAAGGCGGAAATCCATGGAATCTCTGACCAAGCTTCGTCTGTGGTCGTCGTTGCAGCGAAGGCGGCAGGTTGCAAACACAGTGGAAGGCGTGAATCGGCGGCGAGAAGAAAAAATCGGCGTCGATGATTGCAATTGGGCGCACAGGAGAAGTCCGAAGAAGCTAGATTGAGAACGGAGGGAGGCTGCGGAAGGGTGGAGATGTGAGCTGCGATAATGTAGGGCTGGGCTGGGTTACGGAAGAGGTCATATTTTTGGGAAAAGAAAAATAAGTCATATTTTTGGAAATGGAAAGCTAATTAGTAATGGTGAGGCCATTTTTTATTCATTTTTAAATGGAATAGTTCACTTTTTCACTTTTATCAACGCACAAGTTTGACAAATTAATATCTTTGATACCTTATTAGTAAAAAAAAAATTAAAAAAGATTTTGAAACTTTAAAATCAGGAGAATTTAGCAATATGTTTTTGAAATTTAATTTATAATACATTAATAAATAAAAGAGAGTCAAAATAGAATATGTGTGATGGAGTATATTGGCGTATACCCCAGGGGTATCATAATCGCCGGTATAAAATATCACGGGCCCATTTCGGAGTACACAAAAAGACTAAGTCCACAACTATACCGACCCCGACCCCTATTAACTAGGGTCAGGAACAAGCGCCAGTCAACAGAACAAGCTAAGGACCGAGAAGTTGCCCGACCCCAACCTCGATCACCGAGGTCGGGAAAATACCAAGCTCAGGAATCGATCAAACTCGACCAGTTATGAGTCCGACCTCGAGACGACCGAGCTCGGCACCAATTCTGATCCCGGGGGTCAAATGCATGGTCAACGAGCACCAGGCAGACAACTACTTCAAAGGCGGGAGAAAAGGACAAAGGGGCGAGTCCTCTCATCACGGGCCCGAGCTCCCAGATATCGACCTCAGTAATCCCCGAGGTCTGAGTAAGGCATCATGGACTTAGACGAAATCCGCAAGGATTTATCCCACGAGGAGATGTCGCCACGTCATCATCAACGCCAGGGAATATTCTCGGTTACCCACGCATGGCCACGCGGGACTTCTGGCGGCAATTCTGTTAGGAGCAGACTCCAATCAGCCAGCTATTGAAGACTCTCTCTCCAATCAGCTTTACACGTGGCTGCTCCCCATCGAATTAGGCTATTAGTTTGTTGGAGTAGCTTTACATGTATCCCTCTCCTATTAGATTAGCATCTTTTTACTTGGGCACCAAGTATTACCTTTTATCTCTTAGTATAAATATCACCTTCCAACTTGTGGATAGGGATGCTTACTCGATACTTGATACTCATACACTGAGATTTTCTAGCCGAAGTTACGATCTGCACTTTCTGATCAGTTCACTCTCTCCCTTTTCTCTTATTCTCGGTGGATTCCAGCCACCCCTGGTCCGGTGATCCATCATTTTTGGTGCTTTCATTGAGAGTCGAACTCAAGGAAGTCTAGAGGTTAACCGGGAAATTGGCAGCCCTCAACCGGTTTCTTTCAAAATCGGTTGAGCGTGCACTGCCTTCTTCCAAATTATGAGGAAGTCTGCAAAATTTCAGTGGACTCCCGAGTGCCAGGCAGCATTCGACGACCTCAAGAGATACCTAGTCTCTCCACCAGTATTATCAAAACCTGAGCGCGGAGAAATTACATTCCTCTACCTCGGCGTCAGCCATGGGGCCGTGAGCTCGGTCCTGATTCGCGAGGAGGATGGAGCTCAAAAGCCCATCTATTACATAAGCAAAACTTTGCGCGACGCCGTGCTCCGGTACTCCCCAGTAGAGAAGACTGTACTTGCGGTGGTATAGACGGTGAATCGCCTGGTCCACTACTTTCAGGCCAACGTTGTACGTGTTCTCACCCACCAACCGCTGGGTCAATTAATGCGGAGCCCAACAAGCTCAGCCAGGATGGTCAAATGGGCCGTCTTCCTGAGTCAATACCAGATCGAGATCAAACCGAGGCCGACCATCAAAGGGCAGGCCCTCGTCGACTTCATGGCAGAGTGCACTGCCAGAGATCTAACCCCAGTCACCTCAACTGGCGAGTACGGCTGGTGGACATTACTCACTGATGGCTCTTTAGCAGCCAAAGCCTACGGGGGAGTTGTACTCATCACCCCCGAGGGCTTCCGAGCTTACTATGCTATACGCTTTGCATTCAAAGTCTCCAACAACGAGGCAGAATATGAAACCTTATTATCTGGCCTACGCCTTGCAGCTAATATGCAGGTGGAAAAGCTGAGGATCAAGTGTGATTCGAGGCTCGTGGTCGGGCAAATCAGCGGCTCATGTGAGACAAAGGAGGCCCGGTTGAAAGAATACAAACCTGCTGCACTGGAACTCCTGGGAACATTCCAGCTGTACGAAATTCTGCAGATACCACGAGCTCAAAATCAAGAAGCTGACATTCTGTCAAAGCTGAGCTCGGACACGCCTGAGTATATCTCCAAGATAGCTCAGGTGGAGGAGCTATCGACACCAAGCATCCCAAGAGACTTGGCAGCTGATATGAGAGAATACATTGACAACGGGCAACTGCCCCAGGGTGAGGCCGAGGCCAGACTTGTCAAGCTCCGAGCTCCGACCTACACCCTCCTTGATGGCGTGTTATATAAAAGATCTTACAATGGTACGCTTCTACGCTGCCTCAGCGACAGCGAGGCCAAGCTAGCCATGGAGGAGGTGCATGCCGGGGTCTGCTCCGCACACCAGGCCCCCCACACTATGTCTAGAAAGCTCCTCCTACAAGGATATTTCTGGACCACTATGGCAAAGGATTGCGCTCGGATGGCCCACAGTTGCAACGCGTGCCAACAATTCCAGAATGCCCCGGGACGCCCCGCAGTAAACTACGCCCCCATTAACACAGCAATCCCTTTTTCCCGATGGGGCGTAGACCTCGTGGGACAGCTTCCCCGAGGTACCGGCAACTACAGGTGGATTATAGTCGCCATTGACTATTTCACCAAATGGATAGAAGCGGAACCACTGGCCAGCATCACCGAGGCGCAGTGCAGGAGATTTGTCCATAAGAATATCCTCACTAGCTTCGGAGTGCCACAACAGCTCACCACGGATAACAGTACTCAATTCGAGGCCAAAAGCTTCCAGGACATGCTGGCCAGCTGGGTGATCAAACACACTGCAGCCTCCGTTGCCTACCCACAGTGCAACGGGCATGTGGAAAATGCCAACCGCACCATCTTGGCGGGCTTAAAAAAGAAGCTCAAAGACGAAGGCGGAGGCTGGGTGGAAGAGATGCATAACATTCTGTGGGCCTATAGAACAACTCCCCGCAGAGCAACGGGTGAGACTCCATTTTCACTCTGATATGGCTTTGAAGTCAAAGCCCCTACGGAGGTCACAATCCCGACCCTGCGGGTCCTGTCATACGACCCCGAGAAAAACGAGCAGAACATGCGAATCGACCTCAACTTCATTGATGAAAGAAGGGAGAGCACTTTCCTGAGGTCGGAGAACTACAGACGTCAGTTCAAGAGCTATTACGATGCACGAGTCCGAGGTCGGGAGTTCCAAGTGGGGGACTACGTCCTCAGGCGACGAATAGCCAGCCAACCCAATGAGGGAGGGAAGATGGCCAAAAAATTTGAAGGGCCCTACATCATCACCGTTGTAGTCTGGCTCGGATCTTATAAACTAAGCACTCCAAAACGCACGGAAGTTCCGAGATTATGGAACGTCCACCACCTGGTGAGGTACTACCAGTGACCCAGCGCTGTAAAGGAGACAACGAGCCCTCGCCAAACGGAGACTTTGTACCATCACGGGCATTGGAAATCCGGGGTCACTGATAGTAACCTCGGCCGTACATTGTAAACTATTCACGACTGCCATTTCAAATCAATAAAGGGTTCAACACGAAACTCTCCCTGGGAGCAATTTATATGACTTCCAGTCCGAGCTCAACGCTGATATAAGCCGAGGCAGCTTCGTAAGTCATCACAAACATTGTCTCTTCAGCCTACTATCGAATTCCAAGGCCGCTTTGTAAGTCCTTGATGCTTCTGGGATAACTGCCCCAACGGCTCCCAAAATTCGAGGTCGTTCTGTAATCCCTCGACAACGCACGCTCATCAATCGAGCCCCAATAACCGAGGCGACTTCATAATTCCTCGCGAATATAGGCTCTCCAGCCAAGGCTCCGACAAGTTGAGGTGACCATATAAGCCCTCAAATCTCCAGGGATAACAGCCTCGACGACTCCCAGTCTCTGAGGCCACTTCGTAAGCCCTCAATCGAACAGGGACAACAACCCAACGCGGCTCCCAAAGAGAGAAGTCAAGGCATCTATACAAGCCCTTGTTCCTTCCTCAACAAAACAAACAGGGATAGTAGCCTAACGCGGCTCCCAAATTTTGGGCTCAGACAACTCCGTAAGTCCTGGCACCCCACGAAATTTCGTCTCCCCCTTTAGCATTGAAGGCGGCGGGGGGGGGGGGGGGGGATAGAGGCGCAATGCCGAAGGCTGGGCTACTTGACGGCCCTGACCTTGGTCGAGCACCACTCGCTTCTGACCCCGCCGGGCTCTCGTACGAATCCCGTAGCGCCGAGCTCTAGTCCATATCTCGCGGTCTGGAAGGTGGTCAGCTCCCTAAATTGAGGCGCAAATGCCGAAGGCTGGACTACTTGACGGTCCTGACCTTGGTCGAGCACCTCTCGCTTCCGACCCCGCCGAGCTCTCGTACGAATCTCGCAGCGCCGAGCTCTAGTCCATATCTCACGGTCTGGAAGGAGGACAACTCCCTAAATTGATGGCGCAATGCCACAGTCTGGAATTAAAGTCCGACTGCTTGCACCTCTCGCTTCCGACCAAAATGTAAGTTACATATCTTTATATGCGAGTTACATCATTCATGCTATTGAGACAAAAAGAAAGAAAAATAGTTACTGTACACACGTGTACTGTTCATGCGATTTTTTTAAAAAAAATTGTTCAAAGTTACATCGTTTTGGGAGTGGAGCATGGTCCTCACCGTGGGATGATAACACGGTATACAAACTCATACCGTTAATACATGGTATATCTAAAATATATTATTACCAAATTTATTTGTCATAAGTGCATTAGTGCACTGCAAGTTCATCTAAAGTGCCGCCCAAATAAAAGTCTATTGCAAAAGGGAAAGATAGTCTAATAGCATACAAAGTACTTGCTATATTTAAAATTTTAAATAATAATTCGTTTTAATTTATAAAAATAAATAATTTCTTACTACTACTACTAC